AGCAAAGAATGAGGAAACTGAATTCTGGTAGTTGCATTGCTGCTCACCAAAATGGATTGGCACCCAAGCCATGTATTGTGACTTCTTGAAATCCTGCTTGCCACATTGGGTACCTGTCACATGAATTCAGTGGATACTACCAACATACTTTCTGGCACATGAAATCAGGTAGACAAGCTCCATGCTTAGTTTCTAAAATATGATATTCTTCAACCTGTTTGTGGAATACACAGGGCAGTCAAAGAATCACAGATCTGAAGAAAACGTTCATGAACTCCAGATAAGAAAGCTCAGTAATATAGTCTCATGCTTTCCATACATGGATTTGATCCCTGCTGTTTGCATAATGATGTCTCTGCTGCACACAATCATATTAAGAACGAATGTGTGATCCCTGCTAGAACATCTCCCATAAAGGTGTAAGCAACTGCTCTAGCCTGGTACCTAAAAGAGCTTCTAAACTTTGGAATGGCTTTCTGAAAGAGTCCTGTTTGTGTGCTTGTTCTTTAAGAATAGGGTGGGCAAGCTATGGCCACAGTGTCTCTGCTCAGGATCCTCCAGGCACTGTTCTTCATTACTGCAATGCCAAGATGAGGCATTGTGGTGTCAAAAGGGCAGTTTTGCTTTAGAACTACTTTTCTCTTTCTCTCTCTTTCTCTTCTTTTGCCACTGCTGCACTGCCACCATACCAAAAGTTGCAGTCATCTGTGGGTGGTGGTGCAAAAGCTTTAGGGTCCATATATTGCATATTCCTATCCTATAAACAGTGCAAGGTCCATGCATTTGTGGGGGCACGGAGAGGCCAAGAATGGAAAACTAGCTGTGTGGCCTTGCTTTTTAGTTTCTAAATCCCCTTTCAATTGGTTTTGATTTCTGGTGTTTTACTAGTGTTTTATTTCTGTTTTTGGTTTAAACCCCAACTGACAGGAATGATGCAATATGTATGCTTTAAAGAAATTCTTCTTTATTTCAGGGTCTTGAAGAACAGCATGATCAATAGATGTGAGAATAATAGAAGAAAATTCTGTATCTCTGTATATAACCAGGTATAATTCCTAACCAACCCAATACCCCATATCAAGACGATGTTCTCTAAGCAGATGGCCAAAATAGAAAAGGAACCTTGTATAGCATGTCAGATAAGCACCACATTTGCTGCAAATGCTCCTTGGGGGATAACACAAGCAATCCATACCATGCAGTGCAGGGGAAGTTGGCATTCCCCATCCCATGTCACCAGCCATGCCAAACAGGTTTGCCAGGCCTACCCTGGAAATGATGGCTTTGCAGCATCCAGAGAATGCATCCAGGGATAGCCTAATGCACTTCACAGCCCAAGGGATTTCCAGAAATAGAGTAACCCTTTTCCTACAGCCCTGGAAGAGTGCAATCAAAGCTAGGGATTTTTGCCAGCATTGAAATGCTTGACTCACTGGCATGTCACCTGCTGCTCAACCCAAGCCAACTTTTCATGATATTTCTACCATTATATCCCATCTTTCTTCAGACCATGGTGTTTTCTATGTTACCTATTGTGTCTTTGAAAAGCAAAGATGAGAACAGCTTTTCTCAGGTACTGGTAGTGATCATGCCACAGAAAGTTTCCTTCTGTTATAGACTACGTCAGAGCATATTTATACCACACCTTGTTTGGATGCATCATCATAGAGTAATTATTTCTAAGTACTGGGTGTGTTCTCAGTGGGAAGGTGAGAGGAGGAAAGTGTTAGTTTGTGCTTTTTGACTGGCTGAGAACAGCTTGGCCTTTCTCAGCGCCTTGAAGTTTTTTCATAGGTTAGTATGGGAGAAAGGTGGCTGCTGCAAAATACAGCTGCGAAATATTTGCCTAGAAAACTTTTGTGATTGGGTTTGTGTATCATGTGGACATTTAGGCCATATTCAAGATTGGAAACTCTTCGTGGTGGAATGGGACAGTATATATTGACCTCTCAAGCCAGTGCTTTTTTTTAAAACAACCACTGCAGAGCTTTTATACCATTGCCGGTTTTGAACAAAAGGACAGAAGGCAAGGTGCAAAGCCATGGCAAAGTTGGCAGCTGCCATTTTGTGTACAGGTTGCTTTCTCCTCATTGTTGCAGGTAAGAAGCCGACTCTTTTGGCAGTGTTTGGGAAATAAATGAAGTACTGGATCTTATTTCATTGATAAACAAATTATTTTCATTTTGTTAATGGTGTTGTACTTTCCATTTTTATTTTTTTCAAATCAACAGCTTCAGCCAAAGCTCTGATCCTTAATTCTAGATCTCTAGGAAGCATCTTTAGACTAAGTCAGATGATCAGGCCATTTAACTCAGTATTACCAACACTGACTGGCAGTAAACTGAACCTGACACCATTTGTTTGCAAAGAAGGTGCTCCACCACTGAACCACTGAGCCTTAAAGAAGCAACAGTTGGTCAGTTGTGTGAAAATCTCCCTGTGCATGGACAGAAGCTCCATAATTTATGTGTTCTTTACCTACATCCTGGCATACAAATTAGGAGAAGGTCAGTGAGATCTAATTATGATCTAATTTAGATGCCAGGAAGTACTTTCTGACAGTTAGGACCCCAAGGATACAGAATGGGTTTCCATGCAAGGTGGTTGAGGCCCCATCGGTGAGGGTGTTCAAGGATAGGCTAGGCATGCACATGGTGGGCATGTCATAAGCGGAGCTGGCTGGAGCCGGGGGTCAGACTAGATGACCCGGGAAGTTCCTTCTGACTTGCTCTGTTTCTATGTTTCTATGTTTTTAATTCACATTAAGGTGTGGCTTACTCATGAGAGTTCAACTCTTTTCCGGGGCTAAGGTTTTAAGGTGTGTGGAGCCTCTGTAAGTGGATTAAATCTGATTGTATTATCTTATAATACAGCATTTAATATGATAATATATCCAGAATGAGATCAAAGAATGTTGTGGCCTATTGTTTGTTGAAAGTTGCATCTTTGGATCGTGCTGTTTTGGATGATTTATGGGTCAGTTCCTAATTTACTATTTTGGGATAAAGTTCAAGAAAGGAGCAACTGAAGAGCTGCCAAGTACTAGTGGGTGAACTTGGTTATCTAAACCCCTTTCAGTCTGATTTTACTCTCAGGAATGAGATCACTTGGTCCTTGACATGCACCAGGAAAAAGGCAGGTGGGAAGTATGAGTGGCTCTCATGATTCTTCTTGACTTTTCAGCACTTCTAGACCACTGGTCTGTACTGGGAACTGGGCTACAGTTTTTCACTGGCTGTGCTCCTTCTTAGTGAACAGGTTCTGTAAAAGTGTGCTTGGGCACTGAGGTTCCAGTCCATAAAACTTGTCCTACAGGATCATTTTCCTGAGATCAAATTCCCTCATCTTTCCTGCCCATCTCCTTAGGATACATGGACTTTTAAAGACACGCTCTTAGATACTATGGTGCATATGTAAAATAGAATGTGTAAATCTGTACTTTTTTAAACAAAATGTGATCTTTTAGTCCTGCAAACTGGATATTTTCAGTACCTACTGCTGTCACGGCACCCCCAGCTTCCTTTCAGTCAACCATAGCAAGAACATGCTGGAAACTGTATAGATTTTTTTTTTTTTTTTTGGTATAAGCTTGGATAGGGTTGCACCCTTGATATAAATAATATTAATTCATGAAACTCAATCCAGTTTTTGCAAGATGAGCCATAATAACACATAACCCAACCAATGAAGGACTGAAAGAATGACAGTGTTGTAGAGAAGATTATTTAGTGTGAGGCAGAATGATAATCCATGCAGTGTCATGAATCCTGTTTCTTATTTCCAAGAGTCAGTGGCCTCTGAATATGAGACTAATTAAGCC